GAGATTTATCAAAAAAGCTCCCTTAATTCTATAGGTAGTTTTAAATATAATTGTTTTACATATTAGATTTTAGTACGAATTAGGTATAAGGATATATTACAATAGCATTTTTAAAAAGTAGAAGAGATTGATGCACCACATAAGAGAGAGAACAAATGAAGAGGAGATATGCGCCACATATGAAAGTGAAAAAAATTGAAGGGAAACGCTACTTTTAATAATGTATATATATATATATGATTAGGAATCTCTTATTTATAGACACTCTTGACATTCTTTTGTTTGTCAGATTAGGTTTACTAAGCTTGAGTGATGGAATTATTGCTCTAATCTCACCATTGAGTTTGCAAAACGAACAGAGCCGCATAGTGGTCTCATAATATTGAGCCCCATTTGAAAATGGGTTAATAGTTAATAAGAAAATTCGAGTTCTCACTCAACAAGATGATAGTATTCAAATTTTTCCCAAGATAGGAGAGGTAAGGAAGAATTTTGGACATTTCTTACACCTTTTAAATTTCATACATAATAAGATTTTTATTCAGGTTAAATATAAAATGATAACAGGAATTAGGGACAACAATGCTGCCTTGACCTACTAACTACACCATACACATGCACTTGATGTATGTATATAGTTCTTATTAACAAACCGGTAAACTTGAACCTTATTCCTACATTTGATCAATTTCTTTAGGCACTTTGCTATCTATTTTTATTGTTCAACCCTTTGACAATACAAAAAAATAATTGTTCAAACAAACCTCCCCGGCCATCGTTCCATAATTGACCTCTTCGTTTGAACACTTCTAAAATGTTGTTGGAAATTATGGCTTTTTTTAGGTTTATTTTGGGCCACCTTTAAGCCCAAATTTGAGTGGGGCCCACACATCCTTTTGGGGATGGGTCTAAGGAGATGACGTGTTCTTTGCTACGTAGCAAATCATATGGTAAAGACGATTCGTCAAAACCATTTATGAGTGAATGGGGAGTTAACGTCATTTTTAGGTTTGTGAAATGGAAAGTTGAAGAGTCAAATGTGGGTTTCTTTAAATTGGTTGTCCCACATTTAAACTTTAAGAAAACTAGTGTGAGTATATAAGCTCTAGGTGGACACACTTGGGTTGGGCCCCCAGGCGCACCCCAAGTTTTGTAAGGAGCGGAGTTATGGATAAAATGGGTTTGGCCCAAAACCACCAAGCGCGCACCTCTGCCATCCGTTAGTGCTTGGGTCAGGTCCTAACTTTAATTTTTTAGACAAAATTTGTTTGAATTATTTATTTATTTATTTTATTTTCACACTTCTTGCGGGAAAATTTGAATTCCTAACGGGAAAAATTCAAACACTTGCGCCAAATTTCAAATTGGCATCCCTTCCTTCTCTGGTCACCTTTCTTCACTCCAGCAGTTTTTCAAATTCGCACCTGTTCGGAGGGCTTCCAAACCCATCCGAACAGTCACCTTATTGCCTATAAATACAGACTTTCTTCAATCAATTCTCTCATTCGTTTTTTTTTCATTTTCTCTATATTGCTCTTTTGCATAATGTTCTTATATTTTCTGTAAAAGAGAGAGATACAACTCAGTCTGTTTGCCAGACCCAGATTGTAGTGCTGCAATTCTGGGATATAGTCGTTGCATCCTAGGAGGTCGGTGTCATCTATTCTCAAGCACCGTAGCGAGGACGTAACGATCTTAAGAAAAATGTGTCTAACACACGCCTCGACTGTTTTTCCTTTCTACATTTCTATAGCAATAATTTGTAAGTTGTTTTGTAAATAATTTTATTTTATTTTATTTTATTTCAGTGTGTGTTCTTGTTCTTGTTTTAGACTTGAACAAGAAATTCTCTTTCCTTCCTTCGTTTTTCAAAAACAATTCCTTTTGGGTTTTGGAAATTGAAATTTACATTCTAGATTTTTTTAAGGAATTTTTCCAATCGTGTTTTTAATTTTAAATACACACATAGTTTACTATTTAATTTAAATAGTTTGTTCCTACAAATGTCCCTATTACTTTTTTTCATAGATGATTTACACAAAAGAGTGTAAAATATCAACAAATCAAATTAGAGACATGGGATCTATAATAGACCCATAGGCCCAGAGTAGATCATCCGATCCTCAAAAGAGGATTAAAGAGAGCTGGAAAAAAAGTAGAGTGCTAATTGAAGGATACATCCTCAAAATAATAACAATGATACATCATTCCAAAACTAGAGTTCTAATTGAATTCTAGTGAGGTGAAAAATTCAAAAAAAAAAAAAAGAAAAAAAAGGTCAAAACATCACATCAAATAGACCTCACATACACATTAGAACTATTATAGCTACAAAATTAGAACTCTAAAATATTTTTGTAAAAACAATAATGGGCAAATAACAAAATAAGATAATTATATTATACATACCTCATACTATATGCATTCTTAGTTATATCATTTTTTTATTTAGTTATGACCAATTTTCTTCTTTAGCTATAATATTATTTTGAGATTTTGATTATGACTTTTTTTATTGTTTTTAATTATGACTCAAAAAATATGAAATTATATCATTTTCTTCTATAATTATAAGATATATATAGTATACACCCTTTGAGAGATGTGAACCATAATCTTTTCCAACGAAATATCTTTTTTTTTCTTTACTTTTTTTTCCTTTGTTTTTTTAATAGGAACAAAATACCTTGATCACGAAAATAAATACGTGATATTAAGAAAATCAATTTAATTTATTACCTTGTTATACTACAGAGAATCTCCATTATTATTATTGGTGCAAGTTTCCTAAAAGTTCTCCTCATGGCTCATATACTATACTATACTATACTATACATAGTATATAAATAGAAGAAAGTTATGCGAATTTAGCATATTGTTCAAACCAATCCATCTTCAAAAACCCTAGTCTGCTCGAAGTCTTCTCTCACAATGAATTATCATTCTCTTTGAAGAAGAAGGGAAGAAAAAATTTTTTTTGAAGGCTTTACAATTAGAGACAAAATCTATGGAAGTAAGTAAGCTTTTACACCATAGGCCAAGTTTGGGTACTTCCAAAAAAGTCAAAAAGTCAAAAAGTTACTCAAAAAATTAAAAAGTTAACACTATTCATCAAAAGTCAACAATTACGGCTGCACAACTCCCAATTCAAATTTTTCCCTATCAATTCAAATTTTTTCCTACAAATCAATTTTTACACTTTTTTATTACACATTTTTCAATAAAAAGTCAAAAGTTAACCCAAACATCCATATTTTCAACCTCAATTTTTTAGTCCAAAAAGACAAAAAGTACATTTTTTGTGTCTTCCCAAACTTGGCCTAAATCTCCATATCATATGGCTAACCGATATATCTATGAGTATTAGTTTAACAAAGAATTAATTACACTAAGACCCCGTAACTATTAGCAAAAATTACTTTATTCTTCATCTATCACCGAGACATTTTGACTCTCTTAAAAATAAAAATATGTCACTTTCATTTCTTTCAAACTACCTCTAAAACAGATGCATTTGTACGATTTTCATAACTGAAGAAAACAATATATATTCATAATTGAGTGAAGTAATTTATATTTACTTATAGTTGAAACGGTCTTGATGTAATTAACTATTTAACAAGTGGTGCTTGATATCTACAACTAGCAAAGAATAGAGTGTGTAACACAAGTAATTAGCCCATATGCTCTAAATGGTAAAATCACTATTTATTTTATTTGTTCATATATTTATTTTTTTTTTGTATTTAACTGTTGATCAAGCTATGAAGTAAGAATTAACTTTAAAAAAATTCCAAAAAACTATAGAGTTTGACATGAGAGTATCATTTTTCTTCATTTACAGTGTAAAGCTTTGCTATATATCATATTATAATGGCGATCCGTCAGTCTAATGCTATTATGCATAACCCCATCATAATTTTTTTTTTAGATCAGCAAAAAATAAAAAATTATATTGATGTAGAAACATAGTAAAAGTACACAGAAATTACATTAAAAAAAAGCTTAACACGAAAGGTTCTTCTACACACTTGAGGTATAACCAAAAACCTTTCTGAACATAATTAAAATGATAAGCACAATAGATTATAATCAATATCACAATAAGTCATAACTAAACACTATTTGAGGCATAACTAAAGGAAAATGTTATAGGTGTCAAATTTTCTATCAAATAAATGACCAAATGTAGTGTAGGGTTCCACACTCATGCGCGATATTTAGTCATTCATTTGGTAGAAAATTTGATATCCCTAGCATTACCCTAACTAAAACACTCGATTATAACTAAAATCATAACCACACAATCACGATGAGTCATAATCATAACTAACACTAAAATAGATCATAACTAAATACCATTTGTAATATAACCTAAGATCTCTGTAATAATCACAATGTGTCATAATTAAATCAAAATGAGTTTAATCAAGTCAAAACAAATACCATTATTTATTATAACCAAGGACCACAAAAGTCGTGACTAGACATGATAAATCCATTTTTTGAGGTGTATATTATAGAATTTTCGAAATAACATCAATACTTGAGAAGTATATCGCAACTAGGTTGAGACATACACCAAAGCATAAGCCAAAACCCCACAACCAACATAGAAGAAAAGAAGCCCGCCAACAAACTCAAGAAGCCACCCAAAAAACATGAAGTCTGCCTATGACAAAACAAAATCAAATCACAGCAAAGCAAAGCAAAGCAAAGCAGCCACGCCACAAGGACTATAAACAAGGACTAAAGACCAAAAGGCAGAGCAACAAACAATCTTAAACAAAAACAACTCGAAGCACAAAAAGGTCGAACTAATGTTAAAACCACAATTATCAAGCTAAAATTTCCAAGTTAACCTAAACATAGATCCAAAAAGCAAACAGCAGCCACAAACTAGTCGACACCTACCTGAAAGTGGGTCTTCCGAAACCCGAACCCAACAGAACCTCAGAAAATTCAGGACCAAGATAACCCATCATAAGAAAGTTACGAAATTGATTTTGAAAAAACTTAATGTAACACTAGGCAAATCCACAAATTGTTATAAAATTTGAGAAAACAACAACTTAAATATTTCAAGCATACCGGTAAAAATAAAGTAAAAGTCTGACAATTCTGACAATTTGATAGCATAAATCATGACATCATCAAAGAACTATGAATTGAATGCCAGCAGGTACTTCACCCTTGAGCGATCCATGGACCCTGGCTCGGTCAGATTCAGGCCAAGAAGAAACTAAACTCAGATCAAACTCTTCTCCATCTCCCAGATAGTATCTCTTGACAGGAGTAATAACCAGTTTCTCTAGTTTTGTTGCAGCTCTGAGCACAAACTTGGCAAACTCAATTTCATACCAATTACCAACACATCCACCCATCTTGACATGTTTTAGTTGATCGAGAGTAGTTCCGCCAACGTTTATCCGTTGCATCGTTTGATCTTCTTCAATCCTTTCAATACAAAACTGTGAAGAAGATAACATGGAAAGTCAACTAAATTTGTAGTAAGAAAACAAGGATCAAACATATTTTAAAACTCATTATATAGGTTAAATTTTAAAGTCAAACTTGAACAACTTACTACTTGGCCTGATAATTTTATATAATTATTAAAAAAAAAATCAAATCACTAGAACTCGACTTGCGTTCGACTTGTTAAATTTTCATTTGAGATCATTAACTTGCTATGTAAACAAGTCAAACTTAAACCCATGTTTCCAGTTAGAACTTAAAAACGTTCCTTCATTCCTCCTATATGCAAAACTTAAAACTAACAATGAAGTCTGGTGTAAAGTCTGTATGATTGGTTTTGTCTGGTGTAAGGTCTGATGCTGGTTCTGTTGTTATGTTTTTTGGTTTTCTCTCTTTCCTTTGGTTCCTTTTGATTGGTTTCTCACCAATCTTGGGTCAAGTGCTTGCAAATGATTGTGTTTCCTTGCAGTGCCAACCTAGTTGGGATTGTTAAGGTTAGCGTTGATGCCACTTTTCTCTTTATTGATGTAAATTTTTGCATGTATTATTTTCTTCATCAATAAAGTTTCATTTTGCTGATCAAAAGAAAAAGAAAAAAAAACAATGAACCTGGAAAACTACATCACCGTAGAAATAGTGAAGGGATTATTTCCATAGAGTTTCATTACTATCGTAATAAAAATGATAGATTTTTCTTATATTTCCTGTGGGTAATAGGGACTTCAAATGTCAACCCACATGTGTTTTTTTCTCCCTCAAAATTAAACAAATAGTGTACAAATAGCGTTTTTTCCCAACTACAGTAAAACATGATTAGCAATAACATTTTTCTTAAAATGCATAACGCAGATATAACCATTTGGAAAAACAGGTAAATGTGATTGCTAATCACATGTTACCGTAATTCAGGAATAAAATTATTCATATACTATTTGTTTAATTTTGATTAAAAATAAAAAATGTAAAAAAAGAGGTTAAAGAGCCAACAAAATAGAGTTTACTAACCATCAGTGAAAGATTTTGCAGTAGAGGAAGAGCATTTAGAATCGACAAAAGCCAAGTGAGTTCAGAATCCCCTCCGTAGAACAGCTCCAATTGCTTGAGATTTCTAAATGAGCCTAAGCTTTTAGGCTTCCCTTCCACCTAAAAATAAATAAAAATCAAGATTATAATAATAACAAAATAAATTTAAAAAACGGAGTGGACTTACTTTTCTAAGATCTATAGGAAGTGTCAGATACAGATTCTCAAACCGAGGAAGATTTGTGAACAGATTGAATGCATGAGGAATTCCACTACCACCACAAACATATATATACATCTTTTCCAAAGAAGGAGCTTCAAGTGAAGAGAGCAACAATATGTTTCCACTGAATTCGAAAGTAGTGAGATTTGGAGCAGAGATCACAAAGTTCACTATCTTCAGACATCTGATCACTTTCAAATGCACCAAACGAAGAGACGAACCAACGACAAGCAACTTTGAAAATGAATCGCATGTTTTTAAGGTCAGATCTTCGAGCAACAAACAGTTGGAGAACACAGATGCAATAAAATCATCTTCCATGACTACACTTTCTAATTTAAGAGTTGTTAAGTTGCTGAGTCCACGAAAATCACCCGGGGCTATTGGACTCCTTAGCAAACATGTATCTAAATGCAAATATTTTAAAGAAGAAGCACTTGGTCCCGAGAAAAGCCAATATGGGAAATTGTAGTGCAGGTTTTCAGGAAAAATAAAACATTGCTCGAAATGTGGCCTGAAGCCCAGTAAAAGCTCAAGTTTTTCAACTCCTGCATTGATTGCAGAGCTTATCCATTGATCAACACTGTCATGTTCAGTTTCTATAAAGCAAGTCACGTTCAGAGAGTGCATTCTTGTACCTTCGCAACGCTGCTGCATGATATGATTCACTCGTTTCACAAATTCAGACCTGTAAGGTACGAAATCAAAATGATACTGTTCAATGCGAAACTTTCTAATTTCATGATTGCTACCGAACAAGTTGTGGTGATCGAACTTTAAGTCAGGTCTCATTGTCCAAAGGTACTTCCATTTTTCCGACAATGTGCTAGTTTTAGCTGCATCTTTTGTGTCCACGAGGTTGACAATGTCAACAAGGATGCATTGTGGCAATTCACTAATCCAATCCTTTGGTTCGCTGTTAACCTGTCAAATTCAAGAAAAGACCAAATCATATCAACAAGATTATAACATTTTACATGGTAATATCTAACATGACTCTTTAATACTATCAGCAATCAAATTTAGTAAAGCAATAAAACATCAAAAATTAGTAATATCATATAGAAAGTATAATGTGTTAGCCGTAAGCATGCAAAAAACCCAACACACAAGAAAAGCCTAAATGAATACATGGGTGAAAGACCCCACACAGGGAGCGACAAGCCTAACAAACTGAAGAAAAAATCCAAACAAACAAAATGGCAAAAGCGATAGAGCCGGCCGGGGCAAGGTTGCATTTTTGGCTCTCTAAATTTAACTAAAAAATAAGACCTCCAAATAATGTTAAAAAATAAAAGGGTAAATCACAAATACACTTTTTGAGATTGGTTTAAAATACTAATTGACCCTTGTGGTTTTAGAAATTACAAATACCCATAATCAGATTAATGAAAGAGGTCATTTTGCTAAACAATTATAAATTTGAAAGGGCATAATGTAATTTTTATAACTACGAGAGATTACCCAACTTTTTACGTCTTTCAACCAATTTGGTAAAAAAAAAATTGATCTACAATCCTTTATCTATTAACAATTTCATCAAATTTAAGTAAAAAATGTCGTTGAAAATTTGATGAAAGATTTGATTCATCTCTCATTTGATGAAATTTTTGGTGAAAAGCTTGATTTGATATAAGGTTTATTTTTTATTTTTTATTTTTTATTTGAACTCCTGATTTGATATAAGTTTGATGAATGGCTTGGATCTCATTTTTACCAAAATCTTCATCAAATTTGGTGAAGGATTGGAGATGCTCTAACCCACAAGATTTGATCTCCAATCATTCATCTTATAACAAGTTCATCAAATTTAAGTGAAAATGTTGTTGAAAATTTCCTCATTTCATCAAATCAAGATATAAATTTGATGAATTGATTGGATCTCATTTTCATCAAAATTTTCACCAAAATTATTAAAAAAACAATTTTTGACAGGAAACCAAACAACGTCTAGATTGATTGACAATCGGACTACAATTAAACAAATATTATTAAAAAAAGTTTTAAAAAAACCCAGCAAAACGCAATTGTAAAATCATCATCACTACATTCAAAAGAAAGAAGAAATGAAAAACCATTGATGATGATGATGATGATGATGAAGAATTCTAGTTACCTCCATAGCCATCACTAGTTGTTTTGCTTTTCAACAAAGAAGACGATATAGCATTGTGAGGCAGAGTTGGGGCAGACCAGGGTTTGAACAACATGATTAATTCACACTTCGTTTATATAGTCTGAAATCTGCACACCATTAATGATCAAGATTCTTGTAACGCATATGACGTAATATATTTAATTAAATTTATTATTTTATTTTATTTTCTGAAAAAGAAACTCCAAAAAAAAAAAAATTCCCTTAATTAAGCTAATTTTAATATGAGCGTTGTTGTTTAAACCCAAAAGTTAGACCTAATTTTCAAATCTAATGGAGTGATAATCCATTAGAATATCTAAAACAACTTTTTATTTCATATCTTCTTTAATTATTAGTCAATCAATTTTCTTACATATCGTTAGATACAAATAATAGACTTATATATCATTTTTCTTTTAGTATTTAGAGTTTGAAATATTAAGTAATTGTGTGCTTTATAAATGATAATTTTCGAACAAAATAACTGATATACGTTATTACTGACATCATAAATCAATAATGAAATATGCTTCATAAATGGTTTTTTTTTTGTTATTGATATTGTCATTGTTGCAGTGATGGCCGGTGTATCTCCTCGATCTTACTTTCTCATCCTCTAGTCTTTATGCCACCCTCTCATCCTTTCCCAACCCAACTACAATCATACTCCTATATCAGGCTTCCTTAGCTCCTCATTTCTCTCCTCCAGGCCAATCACTAGTCTTCGTCTCATATTATATGATTGATAATATATTATTATCGACACCACAAATCAATAATGAAATATGTTTCATAAATGTTTTTTTTTTTTTTTTTGTTTTGATTATTGTTATTGTTGCAATGATGGACCCATGTATCTCCTCCATCTTACTTTCTCATCCTCTAGCCCTCATGCCACCCCCTCTTCCTCTTCCAACCCAACTACAACCCTACTCTCCCATCACGCCTCCTTAGCTCCTCATTCCCCTCCTCAAGCGCTTGTTTTTTTTTGGTTTGCCAAAAACTCTAATAGACCGTATTAATTAAACCAAAATGAAAAAATTAAAAAAAAATTGAAAGTCAAAATCAAGCAAATTAAGAACACAAAAGACCAAAATGATACCAGAGATAAAATACAAGACTACGAGCATAATTTGCTTACTCAAATATAACTAAGAATCTAACAACTATCAAATCTGTGTAATAATGTTGACTTGCTAATATCTTATCATGTGAACAAAAAATTAAATAGATAAATAAATCACATCTACGTAAGATATACTATGCTTGCATGGTAATATATTATTGATTTCGATACCATCTATACTTAACATAAGTACTGTATAGTCTGCGTTTTTAAAAAATGTCGTCGTAAGGTTAAGTGACTTTTTCCCCAACTTTTAGTGGCACTTTTTAAGCGCCAGTAATTTTCAATTTTCCTCTGGTGAAGGAGGTTAATCAAACCCAAAACCAGTACACATTTTTAAAGACAACAAAACTTTAGGATGTAAAGAATTTGGCAGCAGTTTTCATCAGTATTGAAATATTAATTATTGAATAGAGAAACAAGTTTCTTAAATATTTCATACAAATGGTACAAAACGGATTGAACTTAGAATTATTTTTTTATATCAATTTAATACATAAATCAAAAACCATCAAAGAACTATGAATTGAACACCAGCAGCTAGGGTACTTCATTTTGGAGCAATCCAGGGAGCATTTCTCGGCACAATTCACACTGAGAAGGATCCGGATTCCAATCAAACCATATTCACCGTCTCCTTTATAGAATCTCTTGCAAGGATCAACAACAATTCTATCTAGTTTGGTTGCGGCTTTAAGCAAAAACTTTGCCAGCTCAATGTCATAACAATTACTGAAACAAGCACCCATCTCAACATGTTTAAGTTGATTATGGTATTTCCGCCAAAGTTCTGCATCTGTGCCGTCCGATTTTCTTCAGTCACTGTCCCATTAAACTAGGAGCAAAAGAACATAAAGTCAATATAGTAATTGGGAAACAAAGATGACTATTGAATTGAAAATCTTAAATGGTGATATCTAAGATAAAAATAATCGCAAGTACCTCATCTTTAAGTTAATTTGTGAAGTATCTTCAATTGGTTAAAAATATCACTTGAATGTACTGTATTGTTGAGGGAATATTTTCATGTCTATTATTTATAGAAATAAAAACTACCGATATTACTGCTTTTGAGCATATCTTAAATATATCTTAATTACCAAAAAAATGTTAACTATCTCTTCCTGGCATAATAAATAAATACATAAATAAAAAAGTGGGTTGTTGCCGGTCCATATTTTTTGCCGATAGTATCAAATTCAATAAACTAATTCATTTTAACATGTTTTTTTTTTTTTTTTAAATACGATATCTGTCAAATCCAAGCTAAAAATTTTGCAATGAAAAGCAAAATCAAGATTGAAGGTTGAAACCGAATATGCTATTAATCTATTTGTGTATATATTAAAGAGAGAAGGGCAAGAACGGTTTTTTTTTTTTTTTTTTGGCATCGTCCATCCTCTAACCCTAACCCATACCTACAGTTTAAGATTTATTTGGACCAATAAAATTTCTACTTTATAATTTAGGTCATCATTTTACCACAAAAGATCTTGATTCAATAATAGCTCTCTGAACTACATGAGGAACATAATAGGAATGCGGTCCAATTTCAACTTGTGCAACCATGAGAAAAACATGTAGAATGCATCATAGCTCATGTGTAGGGTTACCAATAAGCACTACATTGGGACGCAAGAAACTTCCTAACATAAAATGCTAAAGGATCAAACTATGGTAATTAAATAACAGTGCATTATACGTCGGGGAATCAATATGTAAAGATTATTCTCAAAATGACAATGGCATAAAGAAGGATTATTTAGCACAACGATACTGGCATAACAAGGCTTAGCGGATTACTAAAAAAAGAGAAATACTAAGATGTCCAGATAATTCAAAGCGTTGGATCAGTTGAACTTAAAAAGTTCTATCATTCCAAAAATTAAAAATAACAATGAACCACAAAACATACATCAAGCCCAAAACAGTAAAAAAAGATTATTTCCACTTCAAGCATGTTGAATTTCAGCATTTTAATAAAAAATGATATACTAGGACTCTCTGACATAATAAATTTTACTTACCATCAATATAAGATTTTGCAGTAGAGGAGAGCGTTTAAAATAGACAAACACCGGAAGAAGTCACCCTCTCTGTACCACAGGAAGCGCAGCTCCAATTGTTTGAGATATATCAATGAGGCTATGCATTTAGGCATACTTTCTACTTCAAAAAAAGTATCACAAAAATAAATAAATAAATAAAAATATGACGCTGCCATTTAATGCTAATAGTGCTGTGAAAACTTAAAATTGTACTTACTTTGTTAATATTTAAAGGCAGTGTCAGTGTAAAGAGTCTCGGGCCAAGGAAAATTTGAGAATAAAGCGTATAACAAGTTGCACTAGCTCCATAAGCATATAAATACATTTTGACAAAGGAGGAGCTTCAAATGAAGAGAGCTTGAATATGTTTCCACAAAACTCGAAACTAGTGAGATTTGTAGCAGCTATCTCAAAGTCTGCTATCTTGACACAGATGAGTATTCAAATCCACCAGCCAAAGAGATGAACCAATGACATGCAACTTTGTAATTGAATTGCATTCTTTTAAGGTCAGCTCTTCGAGCAACGAACAGTTAGAGAACAATCATGCAAGAAAAGCATCTACTACAACTACGCATTCTAACTTAAGATTTCTTAAATTGCCAACTCGACCATAATCACATGGTGCTACTAGATGACTTAGTAAACATGTACGGAAATGCAAATGTTTTAATACTAACGCTGTGTTTGGTTGGGAGATTTGGGGAGGGATTTGGAAAGGGAAAGGGAAAGAAAAATGTGTGAAACTAGGTGAAATGTTTTTCCATTTCGTTTTCCAAATCTCTCCTCAAATTTCTCAACCAAACACAACATAAAACACTTCCATTTGAGAAAAACCAATCGAAAATTGAAATGCATGCTTTCTAAAAAAATATAGGGTTTTAGAAAATATGGCTCGTTGGACAATAAAAGCTCAACTTTTTCCACTCCAGCTGCGATTGCAGAGCTGATCCATTGATCAATACTAGATACTAGAATCTTTTAGTATCTAGAAGGTAAGTCACTTTCCAGATAGTGTAAGCTTCTACCCTTGTAGAACTGCAAGATATAATCCACCCATTTCATAAATTCACACCACTGCGGTACAGAATGATCATAATAAAATGCCAAATTGAACTTGTTGATTTCAAGGTTACTTCCAAACATGTTCGGCTGATCAAATATTAAGGCAGTCCCCATTACCTCGATCTATGGGACACTGTGCTTCTTTTGACTGCATCTTTTAAAATGTATTTAACCTTGAGTTACTGATATAACAAGCCAATCTCAGAAGTCGAGCTTGAATAACTTAGTTAGTTGTATAACCTTAAAACCCTAGTTAAGGATCCTAGCATCTAATGATGATTTATAATAATTTGTAGATTAATTACATTTTACACCTTGTGCTTTACCTTTCTTTTTAGTTATAACATTCAACCCTGATATTATACAGTTAATATTACTAGGGTCAAGTTGTCATAGGCTGACAAGAAATACCATGAGACAACCACTAAATATGAAACATGAGTGTCACATGGTCTCTTTTTTGGAACTCTTTTTTAATGCCATGGATGAAAGAGAAATTCCTTACGCATTTGAGAGGGTAATTTGTGTGCAAATTAGGCTGAGCTAGGAAAAGTCTTCTTTGGAAGTTGGGCCGCGCAATGGGCCAAGGAGATATTTTGTATCTCGGCTTTGGGCTGAGGTAGGTACCAGGATGGTTGGATGTGTTGCTAGAATTGGGACCTATCTGGGGACAAACCTTTGTCCGATCGAGATGATTAGCAGGGCGATGGGCCAAGCTGGGTGTAGCTCGACAGGATGCCAACCTGTAGCAGGGTCAGCACGGCTCGGCCATGTTGAGCACGGAGCAGAAGTAACTTGGTTGACCACAATGTCAGCCGAGGTAAAGGGTTTAACCATCTCGCTTGGTTGACAGTGAGTAGGGTATTATCAGGATAAGTATTATCTTTGGGAGTGTAATTCCTAGAAGGACTCTGCTAAGGAAAGTTAGAGTCCCACTAGGATTGTGCCAGACAGAATCTTTAAAAGCTCATAGCAGGACCTATGCACAAGTATCACAATTCTTATTCTCTAATACACAGAGCTTTTGTGTCTATTGTCGATTTTGCTGATTTAAGCATCGGAGAGGTTTTCGGCATACCCCTACCGGCTAGCTCACGTTTTTGTTTTCAGAAAATAAAGCGACGACAATTAAACGAATGCAAACTTGATCAACAGGATTATACAAGAAGATTATTTTGTGCTCGTACAATTGGCGCCGTCTGTGGGAAGCTTTACAGAGAACAAACCTTTTGATCAAGTTTTTCTTCGATTAATTCCAATGGCGCATAATGAAGACTTGCCACATTCTGCTATCAATGGGCAAACCCCAGAAGGGGGCTGGAGGCGGGAGGCACGAAGGTTTGCCTTTTGTCCCGCTCATGGTAGAATTGAATCCCTAACGACGGAACCCACGGAGAGACACGCGAGAAAGACGAGGCTCAAGTCCACGCAGCTCTCAAAGCCTTGATAGACAAAGGTGGAGGATGCATCCTCAGGTTCAGGAAGATCACATAAGGGAGCAAGACGAAATGATAAGGAGAAATGGCGGCTGACATGGTGACTATGAAGCGCCAGATAAAAAGCAAAACGCACTCTTGCCACTCAGGAGATCATGACAGGCAAGTCACACCATCTCAGACAGAAAGCAAAAGCCTCAGGACAGGTGACACGCAGTCGAGGATTTCTAGGACTCGTTATTCCAAGTCTGAGAGAACGAGGACTGAAAGGTGTTGTACAAAGGAAAGCAGTTATCGGCCCTCGCATACACACCAAACGACATTTAGGCACACGGAGTTGCCTAGGTCGACGGACTTGCAGACAGTACTAGAAGAAAGGGCTCACAGAAGAGAAGATCATCAAGCATGCAACCCCCAAAGGGTCTCTGCTCTACAGCAGTTGGCTCCTAGGATGCATGGAAGTGTCGAGGTGGGAATGCCAGTACCGCGCCTTACCTACGAACCAGCAGACAAAGCGTTAGCAAGGTTGCAGAGCTCGCCATTCGTTCCGGCGATAGAGAACACACCATCACCCTTAGACTTCCATGCATTGAACAAGCACAAGTATTTTGTTAAAATGTGTTGTTAGGGCGTACGCTAAAAAACTTAAAAATATTGTCATTTTACACAAAAATAAATGTAATAAAAATATACGATACAATATTTTCAAACTTTTTAACGTGCGCCCTAAAAATACATGTTTACAAAACCCAAGCTTTAATGTTGCAGTTAAGTGCTATCCAATGCTAGTGACTAGCATGAGGGATTTCTTTCTATTTGAGAATCTTAATATGAATGTTGATAATTTATGCAATGTTGGAATGCTAGGATTTTGATAAGAGAAAAAATAAAAAATTTAATTTATACTTTACTCACTTTCTCTTTTTATTTATTTTCCCTTCATAAATTCAAAATTCAAACATAACCTTAATAGTTCATGTGTTAATCTTTTGCAAGCCAACATATTGTTTTTTAGTAAAATAAAAACATTTTAAACCAGTATCTAATGGGTATATCCATTTTATGAGACAAAACATACCACTAGATAATTTTTATTTATTTTTTATTTTTTAACTTTTACATAGATCCACACAACAAATGTTTGCAAAATACACACGTGCTGCTAGCAAAGGAAGTCCATACTAGCCTAGCAAAGTTGGGTTTTTGGAAAGACAAACAAACGCAAAATAGCCAATAAGCCTGTTTGGTACAACTTTTCTCAAGTTAAAAGCTCATAATAAGATAGTAGAAACTAAGGGGTTGTTTGGAATGTCCTAAATAAGTGTACTTTTTGACTTTTTATGAAATATGGGCTGAGTTTGGGTTAGGTTTGAAGTGATGTGTTAGAGAGGTGGTGTGACTTAAATAAGATGATGTGACTTAAATAGGATAGTAACTTTTTAGCTTTTTGTAAACATGCCAAACTAGGCCTAAAAACATCTCTCCTCCAGCTTCCAAATAATTAGTTTTTTCAGTTCATTTAAATTATTTTTTATCTCAAACGGTAAGTAGAAACTGTAACAAATACTTTGACACAAACTCTGAAAAAAAGAAAAAGAAAAAGAAAAAAAAGCTAGGCTGCACCAAACAGGCAAATATGTGCCCAAGCAATCACTAATGTGCAAACAACTTGTGTAAACTAGCTAAGAAAAAATGGGCACAACAAAGCACAAGCAACATGAAAAGAGCCATTTTATTAACCATCACAATGCATTACATTAATGTATCAAAACTACAAAATGTTCGGCATGACCCACCATATTTGACTTTTTCACATAATCAACTGAAAATTTAAAATTTGAGATTGTGCATGGATGAAATTGAGTTCACAATTTATTTGTCGAGAACTGAAACTGAGCTTAAGCTAAATAGGTAATCAATCAACAAGATTCACAGAATGAATCTTGACCACAATCTACATTACAAAGTAGACACCAACTAGAATCAAATCTCTATTAAACTGTCAAGTCCTAAAAATAAATTAATGTGTATTAATATTGTCCAGTCAGATCCCAGACACTGCCGTAGTGGGAGTCTTGTAAACTGAGACTGTTTTTTAAGTACTTGTGTTGTATGGTCTGAATAGAGTTGTATCCGAAAGCAAACCTGTATGCCTTTTATACATGTGCAATCCAACAATGGTTAGAATAGTGTTCGAAGAGGGTTAAATGGATCCACAAGGAGAAAAATACCTTTCTCTGTAAAATGCTTATCAAATTCTAAAGTACAAAACTTTTTTCTTGTTAGTTGTTATTCCTATTGACTTCCACCAACGAAAAACTAGACAGTGAGACAGCAGGATGTATAAGAGCACTGCTTAAGAGGAGGTCCAATGGACCACCTAATGAAATTTTTTTTACAGGGATGATGAGTGTAGAAATAGAGTGCAAATGACCAATTAAAACTCTCTTCAAATAATGAAAGGATTTTAATCCTCACTGAAATCACCAGAAGAAGCCGAGAACAAGTAGTTTGCACGTGAAGGACCAAAGAGCAACTCCAAGCAAAATGCAGGGCCACATATTGACTTACCCTTTTTCCCAATTTTATCCAAATCCCGCACTGAAAACTGCAAGGTTTACAATAAAAAGTGAATTTAAATATTTGAATCAAATTGAATCAGATGTCAAGTAATACATTCAGAAATGTATAAATTCAATTAATGAACAAGGCCTTAAAGACAATAGACAAAAATGAAACTACTTTAAAAAACAGTCCACACTGAACATTGTAAGCTAGGTTTCTCTGCCTTGCTTTGGATAGGTGGACAGAAAGAAATAAAGGGGGTGATTGGTCGGGATTATGGATGCAACTTAGAGCTTATTTCAATATGAGAGTTTGCGTCAAATTGTTTGATGTAGCTTCTGCTTATAACTTATTAGGCAGAAATAGCTTAAATAAGCTAAAAAAAAACTGATTTTTCAGAAGCTAGGTGAGAGGTGTTTTTAGCTTCTGCTTTTTAATTATCAGCTTTTAGCTTAAAATAATCTTCACCAAACACCCCCAAAGTGCCTCCAACAGAACTATTAAAATACCTGTAGTAAGCTGTTCCTAATGAAAGCCGTATTGAAGCAAGCATAGAAGAGACGCCCTCCAATCATCTTTTCATAAAATATGACACGCACGTCTCCAGTAAGCTGTCAAAACAAATATGGCTTGTTTCATGTATGTGACATTACTGTATCTAATGGTCAATAAGGATTTGTACATGTAAACAGATGAGTAGCATTTGTAGGAGAAATTCATTGACAAGTAGCCAAATTATGCTTAACTTTCTCATTAAGCATATATAACATGGATAACAAACCAATCCTAAAAAAATTTTAGAATGATAGTCAAGGCGCATTTTCAATAATGTTCAGTGCTCTTTCCTCACTCATGTTCAATAATAAATGTAAACCAAGTTGTTTAAAAAATACTTGCCCAGTTTTTTAATGACATAAGTTTCCCTAATTTTTCAATATTTCATCACATCTTATTGTGAAACTACCTAATTTTGCCACAATGAGTAATACAGAACTACAGAAAACAGATAAAAGTATGTGAATGTATTATAAATTTCTCACCTTTATTGGTTTTTCAAAACAATAGTCGAGGCAGGTTTTCTGGTACAGTACAGAACTCTCTGTGTCCATTTGGACTACCAGATGAGGTTCTACTGGTTCTGATCGATTCCCCTCTCCACCTTGATCAACAAAAGAGAGATAATACCGGGAGCTGTTTGGTCTCACACAACCTTTTTTAACTTCTCTGCAGCAACTCTTAAAGACTTCCACAGGTGGACAATACCGCTGACCAGGAACCTATTTAAAATGAACGTGAGGAAACTCCAATCAAATTACATAAACCAAAGCAGATAACCAAGCTTAAATTCAAAAATATTATGATTGACTCATGAACACTATTAAATGATCTCAGGTATCACACGTCAATTCAAGCTATCCCACTTGAAATTAATAAGAAAATGGCAAGAGCACAAAAGTTGTGCCACTTCCAGTATAATGCATTCTCCAAGTCAATTTTCACAACATAGAAAGCCATCAATAAAGAGCTGAAAACCCAAGCCATGGTTAACTCTCAATAAAAAATTAGAAAATCTGGAGAATCAAGATTTTTTTTATAAGCATTACCAGTAGAAGTTTAACATATATACATACATATATAAACAACAAACCCAAGGAACATGGTGAAGTCTTTATGTTGACCATCTTCATTGAGTTATTTTTGGGATTTCCAGCATCCTAGATGCACTTCTAATTTAGTATATCATTTACTATCTCAAAAGTGTGGGACGGACTTACCTCTTGTAACTCTGAGACCACAAAGAAGACAGAGCCAGTGTTAACCGTGTCATAAAGTCGAATTCGAACCAATTCTCTGCTACATGGTTCAGGCGAGTTCACAGATGGAGGGTCATGATCAACTCCCCTAGGAATAGAAAGTGTATTCTCCCAGTACCCTACATAACGCCGTTGGCTTGGTATTGAGACCTGTCCAATACATGCAGATCAATGAACTTCTAAACAAAATACTCATAACTACCGAAAGTCAAGACTGGCTAATGAATCCAATACCATCCTTTAATATGTTCAATTTATTAACGTATAGATAGTTCAATATTAAGTAGCCCTAACCAACCCAAGGTTTCTCGGTTTGATTCTGCTAGTTGTCCACCCAAACCAAACATACCCATACACGTCCCTGTTCCTTGGTGAACCAATTTGGAAACTGAAAATGTGCAAACTGCTAAATTGCATTTCGTTGTCATTTACTTCACAAAGTCCTACATGATAGCCTTTTATACATAGTATGACTTACTCCTTCATTATTGGTAGTCCGTTTATGTGCATACACTTGAAGAGCCTCCTCTGCTGACATGCCACTATAAACAAGGTAAGCAGATACCATCAAGCCTGTCCGACCTTTGCCGGCCTGCAAAATTTAAAAAATGATACAAATGAATAAGAATAAATTATTAATGCACCACTAACGGTCTCACATTCAAGATATTGATCAAATACCACAATTTCACCTTCTACTTCTGACAATGGTGGAGAAAGGTAAGCAGCACTAAATTGGGGAGGGGTAGGAAAATTATATAATTGGGGGTGGGAACTGGGGGTGCAGGGGGAGATATCTAGTAGCTCTGCCCCAGCTTCTGACCCCAACTAGAAATACTTAAAGCAGATCCAGCTCTTCTTGGTACTAGATTGACTTTAATAACTAACCTTTTCCAAAAAGATTGCATCAGAACCATTTCAAAAGCTTTTAGAATTCCTTCACTAAATCTTGAACACATGAATAAACCTTTATCCATATGCTCTTAGTGAAATCCAGGGGAAAATGAAACTAAAAAAATTTGCCACAAGCAACAGAGAAATTTTAGTGTCAGCACCTGAGCTGATAGGAATTAAAAAAGGCACAAGCATGTAAAGTTATAGATTAAGACTTTTAGTAGCAGGTGTCACAGCCCATTCTCTGTAAACCATGAACCATAAAGCTTCAAGTGTAACCAACCCATGTACAACAAATTACTCAGTATCTCAAAAATTCATCCAAGCTACGAGTAGTTGCATGTAAGCATGGTTAAAACAGTATGACCTAATTACACTCTGATTCATCCTACATGAAGCAGCATCCATACAAAAGTTGAGCAAAACATAAAATTAAGTAGATGTCACCAATTGAAAAACCAATTAGTAAAGAGGCTTTCTCAGGAAAACAAGATAAATACACAAAGCTTTCTAGTTATACCATGCAGTGCACAACTGCGATATTTTTTGGGTCACTTGAAAGCCAAGAATCCACACTTTCACAAAAATTCTTGATCATTCCGAGAGGTGGGACATGGTTGTCATCAAATGGAAACCTCTCCACGCGGCCATGAAAATGTAATGGATCATAAGCTTCTTCTATGCATAAGTTGTACACCTAGAAAGCGCCAAATCATAATAGATATTATGAGAGAGAGAGAGAGAGAGTAAATTTTGTATGGGTATCACAGAACATAGCAAAAAGATCAAACATGATAATACCAAAGGACTGAAAAGTAATAAAGTAAACGATTTGGCAGTATTATTGGGAACACAGATATATCAGAATACAATGGAAAGTTGTGTTCAGAAATGTGTACAATGACATAAAACTTACATTTAGTGACTTCTAAAACAGATATACTATATGTTAAAAAGATCATCACATGAAAGGTTTTTTTTTTTTGGGTAGTAATCCCTGGAAAATTTTCTTTCTTGACAAAGACTGATTCATTGAAGAAGATACTCAATATACTCAATATCTATCATACATTTTCTTTATAGTAAGTTAATAATAGGTCAAATCATTAGCAAGCATGCTCAACTTAACAGCTCGAAGATTGTATCCATTTTTATGTTAAATAAGATGAGCACCACATATCATTCACCTATTACCCAAAACATGGCCTCATCACAAGACCTCCAAGCCGTAGGGGAATCTTGATACAGCAAAATCAGGGCTTCCACAATTATGTCAACATGCCACAAAGCTTCAATATGATAATTTCAAGTCGTTAAAAGAGAAAAAAATTAAATGAACTGTGGAAAAGAAATAATGAGCTCACTTTCTCTTGAAAGCATTCTTTTACTAAATAGAATCTAAAATTACTAAAGTAACTGAAAGACGAGAAAACTCATCATGATTGGAAGTTGCTAAACCACACCTTATAGTGTCCATGATGTCTCATGTCAAGCACATCCTTCACCTGCCAGAGAGGATTACGATATATTGATCGCATACGTTCTGCAGGAAATGACATAGCCAATAAACGATCTGTTATATATGACATGTCAAGATCATAACCACCAACTAGCATTCGCCTCCTTTGCTTAGATACCAAGTTACGTATGTAGAAACTTCTGGAGAGATAATTGATCAGTTGATGTTGGACACGGAGTAAACTCGGGTTTTCAGCCTTCCCTGGCCCCATTTTTGAAATTTTAAGCCCCATTTGGCTGAGATCGTAGCCTTACCAGCACACCGTAAGCTACCTGTTAAAAGGAATAATCAAAAGGGCCTTTAGTTCAGAAAAATGACGGGTTTCTCTTTCAGAGAAAATATTGGACACGTGAAAGTGAATTTGTTTATAATAGTTCTTCAAGATCAAAAGTTGTGAGTACAATTGTAATATATTCATAAACAGATGAAAACAAGTGTAGATAAAATGGGTACATCTTTTCACCTCCTCTTTAACCCCATGCTGCAGCAATGCCACGTGTGTGAGAAAACAAAGGTTTAGTTATGAATTTTGTGTTTATTGATAAACTTAAGATTACTTTCAAAAACTATTTCCAACAAAAATTCAAGATACACTTCGTGTTGGCATCGAAACAAAAAATAATGTTCATAAACACTCTTCATTATTTTTGAATAATTATCACTGACTTGCAACTCATGAAATCACTACCTATAGTCTTCTTTAAAGTATATGTAACTCAAAGAATCCAACCCCCTACAATATGTCATTCACAACTCAAATATACATAAATCTGCATTATAATATAAGGAAAGAGTAATTATACCAATTGAGCTGAACATAAAGCTTCAAACTCACTTTGATCCTTGTCTCTTTTTTTTTAAAAATATTTATTCTATGTCAATAACATAAAATGTACAATGTGAATTCACTTTTCTCTTATCTAAAATTGAAGCGAATTCTAAAGTATACAACCGAAACCCTAGAAACTGCTTGCAATCAGTCAGTGACTCAAATCTACATAAGATTCCCTTTTTTTTGTGCAGTATAATTAAAAAGAATTCTTTCTCAAAACACCAACCTTCCTTTTTAGCTCATTAACATAACAATTCTCCAAGAAAAATAATAATAAATAAAAGACAATGACCCAAAAATCAATACGACATTACAGCATACTCACTTTTATTCTTTTTTCAATCACAACTCAAATCTACATAATATGCATCATAATTATAACATAAGGAAAGAGTAATAATACCAACTGAGCTAAACACAGAGCTCCGAAATCACTTGCTTTGATCCTTGTTTTTTAAGTAGGTTTTTATTTTTTATTTAAATTATTCTATGCCAATAACATAAAATATACAACGCCAATTCATGTGAGTTCTAGGGTATCAAATCAAAACCCTAGTAACTCAAATCTACATAAAGCTTCCTTTTTTGTGCAGTATAATTAAAAAAATCAAAACATAAAGAATTCAATTCATTCCCAAAACACCAACCTTCCTTGTTCGCTCATTAACATAAAAATTCTCCATTGGAAAAAAAAGAAAAGAAAAGGACAATGACCCAAAAATCAATACGACATTACAACATCAACATAAATGCATACTCACTCCAATTCTATGTCAATAACATAAACTGTACAATGTGATATGGCTTTCTGTAATCTAAAATTGAAGCGAGTTCAAGGGTATCGAATCAAAAACCTAGTAACTCAAATCATAAAGCTTCCTTTTTTCTTTTCTTTTTTTGTGCAGTATAATTAACAAAATCAAAACATAAAGAATTCAATTCATTCTCAAAACCCCAACCTTCCTTGTTAGCTCATTAACATAAGAATTTTCCATAAACAATAATAATAATAATAAAAAGAACAATAACCCATAAATCAATACGACATTACAACATGAACCCATAAATCAATATCAATATAAATGCCTACTACCTCCATTCTTCTTCTTTTCAATCACAACACAAATCTAAATAACTATGCATTATAAATATAATATAAGGAAAGAGTAAATATACCAATGGAGAGGAACATAGAGCTCCAGAACCACTTGTTTTGATCGTAGTTGTTTTGTTTTTGTTTTATAATTCTATGTCAATAACATAAAATACAATGTACAATGCGAATTGGCTTTCTTGAGATTAATAAAAAAAAAATTGAAGCGAGTTCTAGGGTACCGGAATCGAAACCCTAGAAAACGCTTGAAAGCGGTCAGCTTAGAGGATGGGGCAAGGGATGAAATAGAGACAAAAGAGATCATGGGGGCCAGGAGCTGGAGAAGAGGGTTTCCATGTCGGATTAGGAGAGGGAGAGAAGGAATTCGATGCCTGTCAGGAATCGAATCACTGCTAATTTTGGACGCGGATTTTTTTAGCCCCATTTTTTTTTTTTTTTTTTACATTTTTTTTTTTTTTTTTTTGCAGCCACCCAAAATTTTAGCCGAAAGTGTCGGAGCAGAGGTGGGAGAAGAGTGATAGCCTCCTCTTCTCTCTCTGCCTTTAAATAGTTTAGAGGAGAGGGGAGAGGGACTCAGAGCCAACTGCTATCCTCACTTTGAAGGAATAATGTTCCAATCAATAAAAAAAAAATTCTTAAACTATTACGCCTTCCTTTGTAAAGCGGGTTGATTTTTTAATTTTTTTTTTTTTTGATTTTTTAGTTTTTTTAGTTTGAGATTAAAGAGTCTCATTTGAAAAGAAATTTTTGATTTTTTTTAATTTTTGTAAGATAAATAATGTGATGATTATGGGTTAAACGTGATGTTTTGTCTTATTGAACTAAAAAATTTATTTTATCTTTTTATGACTAAAATAGTCCCAAACTTAACCTAACCCATCTTTCCATACAGAGGCTAAGTATTATTTTGATTTATTAAACTATAAAACTATATAAATGAATTCCTTAAATTATTAAAAATTATTATTTTGTCTTTCCAAACTATAAAATGGTACTAATAGACTCTTAAAGAATTGACGTGTTTCACTTTAACCAACTTTGTTAAGGATCCAATATGTTCGCTTTTATAATTTAAGGGACAAATTGACAATTATCAATAATTTAGAAGGTTTATTTATATATTTTTATAATTTAGGGAGTCAAAATAATATTTCTCAATAGTTTATGAGGTATTCGTGTAAATAACTCTAAAATTTTTATAGTAATGCTATACAAAAAAAAAATATATTTATTTATTTGTTTTGAAGATAAATTATTACAAATTTATAGAGGTTCAAAATTAGGTTGATCGAATATAATAATCATTTAGATCACATTTATCTTTAAAAAATAAATGGCAAGTATAATTTTACACAGAAATCACCCACTCTTCACATTTATTTTTACAACAATGATTCATCCCACTAAAAACATCACCACTAATAGCACTAATGCATTAAAAAAGTAAAAAAAAAAAAAAATACAACTTCAAGACCAAAACATCACATCATTAATGACGGGACCCACTGCCACCTAATTAGTGGGAGCACTAATTAGTGCTCCCAAGCATTTTTCTTATTTTTAATAAATTCAGTGACCAGCTAAACAAGTGTCGCTAAATTATAAGGCCAAATGACACAAAAACAAAATATATAAAAAATAATAATAAAATTGAAGTCCCCTTTACTTTCTACTCAAGGTGGTCATGTGGCTTTAGTGACATGAAAATTGCAGCATAATGCCGGAGCCGAATCAGAGTGTCACCGCCTTCATTTTCTGTCCTATAACTCACCTGACCTCTATTTCTCACCACATAACGCCGCCAAGCAAATTGTATATTCACAGCAGCCCAAGTTCTCCAATTAGATGAGTAGTATCTCGCCGTTCGCTTAACTTTCTCGTTAGCCAATTTATAACGGAAGTGATCGGTGATGTATCGTAGGTCATCGGCATTGAGGCTGAATGCTTCTGTTGGACGGGTACAAGTAAACGTTGCAGATGAAGGTGGAAGTCGGTCTATGAATGGGCGACGAAAACACCAAGAGAGGAGTTCATCGCCCAAAAAGCTTCCGGGTTGTAGTATGCTTGTGGCAACCCTACCTTTGTTGAGAATTTGGCTTCTTTTTACGCGTCCCCGGACTATGAATACCATCCGTTGCACCGGTTCTCCTCCTCTTATAATCTGTCCCATGAAAACATAACTATGTTTAAAAAAATGCATATCTGTTCAATAATACTACATATTTAGAAAAATATTTACAATTTGAAATTTGTGAATCATGTTTATTTTGACACATTTAGGTTTAAACTTGAATCATAAATTTTAAAATTTTAACATTTTCCTAAATATTTTGGATGTTTAAAACTTTGGATCGCGTGTGGCAATTCTAAACCTTTTCCCCTTTGGACAAGACTAGAGGATTAACACGATCGCAGATGTTGTCAAGAATGAGGTCATCCAAGCAATCAAATAGAGGTACCTGAAATAAGAAATTACAAGTGAAAATAAATTATTGAACAAGTTATTCAACGACTTATGAAAAAAAGTTACCACTTTAGGTACTCTTAAAAAGTACATATAGTGATTGTTTAGGAAGTTGTTATTTTAGTAGATTATTTTAATTTTTAAGTATTTTAGTAAGTTAAAATTTTTTTGTTTGAGAAGATGATTGGATTTTTTTGTAATTAGATATGGTGTTTGTAAAAAAAAAAAGAAAGTAAAATGATTATGAATTTAATGTGATATTTTATTTTATTAACTATTTTAGCCTATTTTATCTTTTTATGGACTTAGCCTAAATTAAGCTAAAAACTCACTTCCCAAACAGCCCATATACGTATCTAAATTTTTAGCCATAAGCATCCATAACATACATTCACCCACCAAATTGGTTTATAATTTTTTTTTTTAAAAAAAAGAAATACAACTATAAATTATGATAATCAAAACTGCTCTAGTTTAATCAAACACTACAAAGCTAAATTTTTAGCCATAAGCATCCATAACATACATTCACCCACCAAATTGGTTTATAATTTTTTTTTAAAAAAAAAGAAATACAACTATAAATTATGATAATCAAAACTGCTCTAGTTTAATCAAACACTACAAAGCCTAATAACTAAGGCCAATTTAGTTCGTTACTAAAAACACCATAACGTCTCGTAAGGACGTTTCCAATGTAGCTAATTTTAACTGCTAAATTTTGGTATCATCATCTCTTGTGTGTGACACGAGGCATAACATGTTGCCAAATTTTGATATGAATCTTCTCTCTATATATGACTTTACATGACCCACAAATTCTATTTTTTTTTTTTTGATTGGCAATTGTTAGTTGTTAGATTAGCACCTGGGAAAAAATCTCCCCACCCTTGGTAAAGCACTTAAATACTTGCACTCCCTTAATTCAACTTCTCTAAGGGGAATTGAACGCATGACCTCCTTGAGACTAAGCCTTAAGAAAGACATGGTGGCCAACTAGGTTAGGCGTAGTTGGTGTGGGGATGTATTTTCTGAATACCAACACGTGGCATGGTGACGCCGACGTGTCAGCCGAGGTGCCACGTGTCCTAGTAGTTATGCCGAGGTTACCTAGGCAAGGTCGAGGTGATCTCCGAAGATATCGGAATCCAAGATAAGCGGATAAGGGACAAGAGTCCTAGAGTAAAGAGAAGACTTTGTTGAGATAAGGATAAAGCTCTTAGGGAGTTTATTTTTATCTCTTGAGGAGTCCAAAGTAAGTACTAAATTGGAGTTCATAGAAGTCAAGCTTCTAGTAGGACTAGGATTGAGTAAACTATAAAAGAGAGGCACCCCGTGGGTCTAAGGTACGCAGTTTTATGCTTAGGCTTGTGAGTTTAGCACTTGATTTGTCTTTGAGAGATATACTGACTTGATCGTCGGAGTGCCCCCAGGTAGAAGAGCCACCGCCGGAGCCTTTTCTTTCTATTGCAAGTTTGCTGAAGCCATCTATTCTGCCGGTGCTCTCCAGCTGATTACTAGGCGGGCAGTGTGGTCAGAAAATTACCCACACAATTATGGACTTATCCTAAATTAGGCTAAAACCTCACTTCCCAAACAGCCCATATACGTATCTAAATTTTTAGCCATAAGCATCCATAACATACATTCACCCACCAAATTGGTTTATAATTTTTTTTTAAAAAAAAAGAAATACAACTATAAATTATGATAATCAAAACTGCTCTAGTTTAATCAAACACTACAAAGCCTAATAATTAAGGCCAATTTAGTTCATTACTAAAAACACCATAACGTCTCGTAAGACCATCTCCAACGGTGAACCAAACTTGGCATTAAATTTAAAATTTGGTGAAAAAGTCACTTTTTTAAGCTCCAACGGTTTCACCAAATAAATATCAAATCTAGAATTCAGCAAAAATGGTACCAAACTGAGTGCAGGCGAAGCATTTCACCAAAGCACTGTTCCTAACCGTTGGGATGAGACGAACGGGTCAACCATCCGGTTGACCAACTGGTTAACCAACCGGTCGCCCCGGAGAAAGTTCAGACCGTTCACAAAAAGGTTCAAACCAGTCAAAAATAAATAAATAAATAAATTTTGCCTAGGTGGTCGACCGGCCGGTTGACCACCCGGTCGACCACCAAAAGTTCAAAAAAAAAAGGTTCAAACCGGTAAAAAAAAATAAATAAATAAATAAATTTTTGCCAACCAACCGGTTGCCCAGCGCAAATTTGATGAAACGGATTTGATGTTGAACCGTTGGAGCGCGAAGTATCAAATTAAGGAAATGACCCATTTTTGACTCAGATTTGGTGAAACATTTGGTACACCGTTGGAGATGCTCTAAGGACGTTTCCAATGTAGCTAATTTTAACTGCTAAATTTTGGTATCATCATCTCTTGTGTGTGACACGAGGCATAACATGTTGCCAAATTTTGATATGAATCTTCTCTCTATATATGACTTTACATGACCCACAAATTCTATTTTTTTTTTTTTGATTGGCAATTGTTAGTTGTTAGATTAGCACCTGGGAAAAAATCTCTCCACCCTTAGTAAAGCACTTAAATGCTTGCACTCCCTTAATTCAACTTCTCTAAGGGGAATTGAACCCATGACCTCCTTGAGACTAAGCCTTAAGAAGGACATGGTGGCCAACTAGGTTAGGCGTAGTTGGTGTGGGGATGTATTTTCTGAATACCAACACGTGGCATGGTGACGCCGACGTGTCAGCCGAGGTGCCACGTGTCCTGGTAGTTATGCCGAGGTTACCTAAGCAAGGCCGAGGTGATCTCCGAAGATATCGGAATCCGAGATAAGCGGATAAGGGACAAGAGTCCTAGAGTAAAGAGAAGACTTTGCTGAGATAAGGATAAAGCTCTTAGGGAGTTTATTTTTATCTCTTGAGGAGTCCAAAGTAAGTACTAAATTGGAGTCCATAGAAGTCAAGCTTCTAGTAGGACTAAGATTAAGTAAACTATAAAAGAGAGGCACCCCCGTGGGTCTAAGGTACGCAGTTTTATGCTTAAGCTTGTGAGTTTAGCACTTGATTTGTCTTTGAGAGATATACTGACTTGATTGTCGGAGTGACCCCAGGTAGAAGAGCCACCGCCGGAGCCTTTTCTTTCTG